TAAGCAGTAAAAACAAAAAAATAAGGGCTTTAAAGAAAAAGTAAGCACCTATAAGGGCCTTTATATTTTATTTTCAAATATAAAAACTTATAAGCACTTATAAGGACCGCTACGAACCCTGTAAATGAAATAACAGGACCTTTCACATAAAATACAGAATACGTACAGATATTTTAATTTGGAAATATTTAAACAGCAATCAAAACTTATAAGTATAGAAAAGGTTTGCTTAATTAATTATGATGGCATATGGAGGCTAGGTGCCTTCATACAGGGCATTAAATTAATCATATTCATATTACACAGGAATTTGAATACAGGTCAAACTACAGCATCAGTAGTCTCATCTAGTCTGTCGCTACTTTAATAAACTACATATAGTGATTAAATTAGGTCATGCTACTTGATTACAGCAAATCTCTTGATGGCTTTTGTATATGGAAAGGGGATGCCTTTGGAAACAAACTGCGCAGGACTCCTACATATATCACATATAGGAAAATAATAAAAACTATGTGCAATCTATCCATTCACCAGGAGGCACTAAGCCTAGAATTAACTACTACTGATCTATGACTTGAATTACTCAGCCACAGGTCAATTTATAAGAGATTTTTTAATTAACACTATTAATACCCTAATATTATTAATAAAAAAATCTGATGTGTACAGCACGTGACTTCCTTGTATGGAATATTAAATTATACGCATTTCTTTCTTGAATTTCATTTAAATTGATTGGATTGAATAAAATCTACTTCGTCGACAGCGCATAAACCACAATAGAATAAATGGACTCTTTAAAATTCACTATATTTTTTTACTATAACGACACTCTGAACGCCCAAAATTTATATCATTTGAAGAATTATCTTATCGTTGCCACATGTTCTATTCAAATACTATAATAAAGCTAGAACGATGTATGAAAGAAATTAAGCAAACAAAACAAAAAAGAAACAGTTTTTTCGCAGACGATTGAGTATTTCTCATTCAATTAATTCAGTTCTCACTTCAAGACAAGGCAAAAATACATAAAAGCTCAAAATATCTGTATTAAAAATTGCGAAGCAAATCTTAAACACTTTATTTCCTCGAAAAAATTCCAAAAAGGATTAAGCATGATTTAATTCGCAATAATAAATGAAGGCGTTATTTTTGTTGTTGCGAAGCTTAGTCTCTCTAGATTGGCAACAAATCTACAATTCTGCTGTTTCAAATGTAAACAAATATGGCCGCCATGTTATTTAAAACTTAACCGCACTTAAACAGCTTTTAAATTGTTGATAATTGTACAAATATTGCTTCCAGAATTACGAAAGGCATAAAAACCTTAACCGGAAGATAAGAACAACATAATTCAATCATTTTTAAAGCAAAAAATGTACAATTTACAAACATATCAGAGTAAAGAAACTGAGATCACTGTCCGAGTAACAGAGTGGATATATATATAAATACAGTATTTATATACGTTTAATGCGGCCGATTGCAACCAAAATACAAGGTGCACATCTACATATTATAGCTGTTCTATATACAAAATTTCAACGTTCTGAGGTTACTCATTTTTTAGTTATGTGAGATATGTACGTACGCACGTACGTACATACGTTCGTACAGACGCCACGAAAAATTCTCTTCAGAATTAATTTTAAAGCAGTTTTATAATTTTTGGGGGGAAACAAGTCTTTTATTCTGTCCTTACGTACAGATATCATGCAAAAACATCGTTAAATTGCATTCGATCCCGGTCAAAATGGATATTTTCATCGAAATATGCTGCCTGAAACTTTTCGCGATTACAATACTTCATTTTTATTTCGTACAAGGAAGTAAAAATTGGAGATATTGTATAATATGCATACCTGCCAACCTATAAAGATAAAAATTCAGAAGATTTCTCCCCCAAATTCAGAAGAACACAAAGAATTAATATCATGCTTTGATATTAAAAAAATAAACAATTTATACAAATAGAAAAAAGAAAATTGTACTTACATTAGTAAATTTCAATTACGTAGTAACTAAAAAATTTATTAGGAAACATAAAACAAGAACTTAATGTTACACAAAAAAATTATTGCAATGAATTTAGAGTGCATTTTCTGGCTTTAGCCAAAAATTCTTTGGAAAACTTTCTGTCATAACAATTAGTTTCCTCATAACATTTAGAAATTAAAATGTTTTCTAGAGTTTTTGGTAAAATTGAAGAACGAAACATAGTTTTGTTTTTCTTCACAACACTGAAGACTCTCTCGCTCTCAGTAATTACTGTGTGGAATTACGAGAATAGCACATAAAACTCTTGCTAGTCTATCATATTTTGGTGTTCCATCAGCTCTTTTTATTCTTTTTAAGAACATCAAGTCTATCTTCTCCAGAACTGGCAAAGTCTTCAAACTGTGCAGCAGAAAATTGGTTCTGTAGTTAATCTAAAGCATCATTATGGCATTCATTTTTTTTAATTGTTAACAAAAGTGGAAATTTATCAATAAAAAAACAAATCTTTTCAAAAGATGAATTTTCAATCTGTTTCAAATTTGCCACTTCGTCATTTAGAAGAACTTCATTTTGCAAAGGAAACTTCCTTATAATGTAATCACAGGCTGAGGAAAAGTACTTTCTAACACATTGAAAAAATTCTTTTTTCTCATGATCTTTCAAAGAATTTACAAGTTCCCTGGTTTGATTTCCAATTATAAGATCATTGTCATCCTTTTGATTTGCTAAACTATTATAGGCAACATGAATCAACACACTGTTTTTCACAACGGACGGTTTTACAAACTTAGTATAAAGTTCTTTCAAAAGATCATTAAGAATTTGGATAAGCAGGGGAGATTTTGGGGAAGCTGATTGTAGAAGGGTATTTACACTTTCAAAAATCTTAATGGTACTTAACACGAAACTACAATATGCTTTGTTCAAATCCGAAGAAAGAAGACAGAAAATCCTTTCCTCCCGGCTAATAGAAGACTGTTTCTTCTTCCCTTCAACTTCTTTAACAAAGTTGACCTTTGAGGAGACTTCTAAGCATTTTCTTTTTAAAGGGTTTGATTCCGTGTGTTGGCTTTTCCCTTTTAAAGCATTTTGATTAGAAGCAAAGTTGGTTTTCGGAATCTTATAATATGCCGACAAATTTGATGGGATCTGTGGTTTCGTTTTGGTCTCTTCGTGGAAATATTTTAGCAATGCAACCCACTGTTCAATAAACCTTCCTAGCACTCTGCCTAAGGATAACCATCTCGTGCATACATGTTTCAGAATTTTTCTCGTTTCACCAGAGCACAGTTCTTGGAAATTCTTTAGGTTTTCTTTTCCTTTTTACACTTTTTTTCAAATAGAAAAACACATCAATCAGAAGCTGGTCAATATTTAATGGTAAAGCAGCTGCAGCTTTTTCTGCTGCCAAATTAATTAAGTGGCATGGGCATCCAATAACAATTAATTCATTTTGTTCTTTTTTGAGGAAAGAGGCTACACCCTTTTTGTCACCCACCATGACAAGAGCATTATCCGCACCAAATGAAATGCAGTTTGATATTGGGATGTTAAGTTGTTTCAACTCATTAATTACCAAGGAGGCAATATTTCCCCCCGTAGTGTCTCCATTTAACAATGGAATACGCAAAAGATGAGTTTTCATTTCATTAGAAACATTACAGAAATATGTGACAACGATGGGGTAAAGCTTCCAATCGCTGTCGTTGCTGCCATCGATTGATACTGAAAATGCTGAATTCTGGAGTGCAGCTGTCGTTTTACTTGGTGCATCGCAAGCAATTTCGTTCACAATAGATGTTTTCGTGCAAGCACAAGCATATTTCTGAACAATCTTGGAGTCGGGAAACATCTGTCTGAAAAGTTGGCCGGCGTGATCGGCAGCGCTTAGCGACACGTTGTGTTCGATAAGGAATGCAGTAAACAAACACTCTGCCAAAATGACATTGGCATCCGAACTCGTAGCCGAATTTGAAAAAAAATCATCCACTTTCTTTGACGTTGTCGAAGACGAAGCATTAACTTCATGCCTTTTAGACTTAACATGCTTCACAATGTCGCTTCTTCCACCGACTTATTATGAAGTCACACACGCACACGTTGCAAAATGCATAGTTATTTCCTTTGAAGGATTCTTTAATTGTTGAAAATTCGGCTTTGTAGGCAGGCCGAAAATATTGAGAATAACACGTTGTTTTTTTTTAACTCATTTCGTAACAACGATGTATTAAGAAAATTCGTAGCACGTGCAAACAAACAAAAAACAATGCGGCAATCCTCGCTAAAAAAATAATCTGGCGCCCACAAAGAAAAGAGTGGGAGAAACAAGTTCAGCACATTGGATTGGCTGGTTAAGCGGCGAGTTGGGAGAAACCGCAGGTTACTGGATTCGAAGTAGTCAGTAGTTGGCGGTAAAACACGATGCAATTGTCAAAAATCGCTGAACTGGCGAAAAATTCTAAAATTTCGACAAAAATCACTAAAAACACTTGAAAAAGGGAAAAAAATGTAAAAAATGGATTACGATCGTAAAATGATAAAGACAAACGCATTTTTGTAAAAATTACGAAAAATTCGTAAAAGTAGGCAGGTATAAATATAAACCAAGCATCTGACTTTTAATGACTTAATTAAATTAAGAAAAACAACACTAAAGAAGAAATATGGTACCATTTAACTGCCAGTCATCACATTTTACAATAGAATGTTTCACATGTGAATACACAGAATTTTTCAATGTCATTTTTTTTAACATAATATACTAAAATTAAAAATTTTAAAGTGAAGTAATTTATACACTGAAAGTACTTTTCCAAAGCATATAAGTTTCTTTCAGACAATTTTTGATTTAGAGACAGAGTTCATTTTTAAAAATATGATTTCAATATATAATAATTTATAAATGCAAAGAACTAAGCATACACCACATGCTATTTTAACAATATGTACCTTTAGAAAATTTTAAAAATTACTTTCAGTTAAAAATTTACTCTTACTTCTTTTGCAGATTGCCCATGAAATCTTGGGTGTTTTGCAATCAATACAGAATTTAAGTAACGAACAGCTTCAATAGCCTTCCTTCCACTTGTTGCCTAAATAAGAATAATGCAAATAAAGTACTTTTTGTATATATATGAACACAAGTTATGGAAGTTATGAAGTCTCATATTTTCAAATGTGAACTATCAATTATAACTTTTCTAGAAAAAATGATTCACAGAAATATAAGATCAATAATGATGAACAGGTATCATAATTAAATTTTAAATCTTGCTCAATAAATACAGACCTTGGAAATCAAAACTCGTTAAAATAATCTTCAAATTAAAATGTATACTCCTTTTTTAAAATATTCTCAGCTAATCAAAACTAATAGTTTTAGAAAGTAATCAATGAAATAATTTATCATTAAAAACCAAGCATCTGACTTTTAATGACTTAATTAAATTAAGAAAAACAACACTAAAGAAGAATAAATATAATTTGGCATAACTCCAGCCTCTAAACAAGGGGATAATAATTGTTTGCAAAATCAGTTCAATATGGACATAAAAAAAAAAAAAAAAAAAAAAAAAAAAAAAAAAAAAAAAAAAAAAAAAAAACAGATTTGACTTAAATTAGCCATTTAAATTAGCAAATAGAGTTATTTAAAAAAAAAAAATTGATTTAGCAAGAAAACACACTGAATAACTTATACACTGAATAACTTATAGTATATCGACAAAATCTAGAACAGAAAATTTGAGGTTTGACCACTTATTTGCAACAATGTCATGCTGCTGTTCATAACACAATATAAGCAGGCTATCATATTTGGCGGTTTAGTGCACATTAGGAAATCCCATCAAAGTCGTGTGATCTCTCACGTACAATTCTGAGCCACATTTCTGTCTGTAACTCTTACAATAAAAAAATTGACAATCTTCTTGCACAATCGATGAACTAGTTACTGTCGCAGAAGTATTCGACCAGCTTTGTTTTTTAAAAAGACTGATTTCTATTATTTTGCAGTGCCCTCTGATTAAAGCTCTGTTTTGAAAATTATAAGTACATTTTCTACAAGTAACTGGTTCAATCTATTGCTATTTTGATGTCCATATCCAGTTCTTTTTCTCAAGTGTTAATTTTCTGAGCCCACTGTAAATGAACACAAATGCAATCACAAATGTGATTCTACAGCACTAACATCCCCCCAACCCCCAAATACAATCAAAAGTCTTTAATCCGGACACGTCGAGACTTCAGCGATTCCGAATAATCGGTTTTTCCGGATTATAGATCATCAGTTTAAATCTGGTAAGATTGCATGCAGAAATTATAAAATTAAAAATATGAAACCGTAATTTATGAAATAAAGAGCGACTATGATCTAAAGGGTATCAAAATTTACAAAAAAAAAAAAAAAAAAAAAAAAAAAAAAAAAAACTTAATATTTTTTTGTTTACTTTCTTAAACATTTCTCTCAACACGCGCATGCGTAAAGCAGACATTACGCATAGTCGAAATTAGAAAATTGCAACCAGAAAACTATTTGATGTGTATTCGTGATATTTATAATGATGAGGAAATTGATTTAAATCATACCGGAGTACATCGAGATGAAACACTACATTTAGTAAAAAATTATAAGCAGAATAAAATAAAAACATCTGCCCTGAAGATGAGGTTAGTGCTGACAGATCAACTTCCAGTTCCTTGTGCAACGACTTGACGTCCCCCCCCCCCCGCAGAGCAGCGTGAAATTGATAAACAGATTTCGGAATGGTTAGAGAAACAAATCACCTCTCTGTCACTTTCTTCATGTCTTTATCCATTTTTTGCAGCAATTCCACTTTTTGTTTAATGGACATCGAAACATGCTTTCGCTTTGTAGATCCTTTGGCAGCTCCAGAATCCGAAATTATTTTTGACATAATCAAAAGTTCAAGCTTAATTTTATAAAATTGCTCTAACAGCCTGCAAAAAATAAGCCAGATCCAATTAGAAGATTAAGGAACAACGCAATCTGCAACATTAACTGAAATAGATAATTTTAGCTTAGCTCTCATACCGTCCATTATACATTAAACGTGCATGCATAAACGCATATGCGCAGAATGTAGGTTTGAGGTCCGGATTATGGACGTCCGGATTAAAGACTTTTGACTGTAGAAATAGAAAATACAGAACAATTCATTTATATCCTCACTCATAAACAGAAAAAGTGTCTCATTAAAATCAATCAAGATTACAACAACAAATGAAAGTGCAGATGTTCGTAAATGTGTTGCAATGTTATGCTTATCCACCACTGGTGCTAAATTACGATGCTTGGCGACAAGTCTTCCAGTCAATGAGATAATACGTATGTATCCAATCATTTTACTTTGGCAATTTAGTATTTTTTGGAAGGTAGGTAGTTTGCATGGATAAATTCAAAAGAGATGAAAATTTATTCTAATCCTTTTTAACATATAAAAATATTGTACAGCAGTTAACACTTATTATGATGACAGTTCCATTATAAGGATCAGTACAAAGGACAATTTATGAATTATGTTACCTCCATTTTTACTAGAACAACCATTTGTTCTATTTTTTTTTTTATACGACATGAGGGATGATCATAACAAGAGTCAATTATAATTACTTGAACTAAGAAACAGGTTTTGTTATTCCTAAATACTAATTTACCCTCTTTTGTACAATTCCGGACATGCAATTTTAAAATGCAAATGTTACTCTTTCCTCCACAATATGATGCAAAATTAGAAACTTTTGGTTTTGGGCAGCAATTCAGTGTAATGCAGATGGCTAAGGACAATCTGGAGCAAATATCAGAACAATCCTACTGCTATTTAATGAAGTAACTAACAACTTCTACATAAAAAGTTTCAAGCATTTAGAATATTTATTTAAAATACATCAATACAAATAATAACACTACAAATTCAGATGAATGAAAAAAAATTACCTTGTTAGATCTTTTTAAAGAATCAAGTTCTTGAATTACTACCCATGGTATGAAAATATGAGGAGGGCCACACCCTATAAAAATAATAAATATAAATAAATAAACCTTCTATAAATACACTGCGGAACATAAATATAAAAGAATATTGTAACTTCTATAAAATAATTCTAGTCTCAAACTAATTTAAATAAAGCAAAGAATTTGATAAATAGGGCAATTCAATCCTTTTTAGTGTGATATTTTTAATGATAAGGGGAAGTATTTCAAACAAAATATAATTTTTTTTTTGAAGCAGTTTATCCCCTTCCTCAAAACAATTCTGGGCTATTTCACTACATGCTGATTTTTGATGCTGATATCCTCTGGCATTTACCACAGCTGTTTTTACACAACACAAAGAACACTTCTTAAAACATTTTCTTAAATTACTGACACTCACACAATAAATTCTCAGAAAATTGCACATATATATCATTTTATCACATACAAATAACAATACAATTATCTTCCTGCTTAATGGGGGAATGAATGCATGTTTCATATGTTGTTTTCAAGCATTCAGATTTCTTATTTATGTTAACTATTAAGCTTTTTAGAAATTGCTCACAGCACATTTCATCACTTGGTCAAAGACACATCAGATGCATTCATCACTGTCATTTCAAAAGTTATCTAATCCAAGCTTCATTCTGTAGGACAAAAAAATTTTGATGCAATTTAGAATTTTAAATCAATAAATCCCCCCTCTCATCATAACATCTTCCTGCTACCATGTCACTTTAAGTTATTTCAGATTGCATTCAGTTAATATTATATTTATTGATTTTAATAAAAACTACATTCATAAAAAGCAAACAAATTTAAGTGAAATTTAATGCAAACAAATAAATGATTAATTATTGTTGCAAACTAATCTACTATATCATTTAAATTCTGAGAGCATTTGTAAATCAAGTGCAAGTATCAAAATCCATGAATAAATATAAAATTCCAAAAATTATTTAATCCTAAAAAATTTACTTATAAAAACGCATAAGTGAATGACTGTTGAGCAGGCAGGAAACAGACTTATTCAGAGGAAGCTGCCTCCAAACCTTACTCTTCAATCATTCAATTCGTGTTTCGTCATCCATGTAGACAAGGGTAAAAGTCAAAACCAAAAGTAATACCAAATGTAGTGAATTACCATAAAGAAATTTTAAACAAGTAATTTAGAAGCCAAAGTAACCAAGTAATCAAACAACCAAAATATTTCAGAAACTCTTGCCTACAGAAACTTCCCCTACACAAATTATGCATATAAATCAAAGAGAAACTAGACATTATCTATAAAAAATAATACATAAATTATACTTAAATAATGCTAAAAAGGTAAGTAAATAGTAAGTTTTAATTTTAACTTACCAATTATATTTATTTATGGGGAATGGAGAAGCATTGCCAAACTAAGTGAATGCTAAGTAATGTGTTCTGCAAACTTTAAATAGATGGTGCTAATGTAAGGTGAAGTTGAGTGTAAAGCTGCTATCTGTGATCAATTTAAAAAACCTACTTTGTAAGCTTTTAAGTAATGTAAAATGTGTGTTTTGTTGTAAAAATGTGTAAAAAAAATTGTATAAAAAATTGTAAAATGCAAACTGTAACGTTATGTGAAAAAATGTTGCAAATTATTAAGGAATGTAAAATATTAAGGATGTAAAAATTGAAAATGATTTTGAAAAAAATCACGAATAAAATTACTTTAAAGAAAAATTTAATTTTAACCGCAAGCACACGCGGCGAGTATGTCATACCCATTTTTCTTTTTGAATATTTCTTGCCCATTCTTCCATAAAAAGGACGAAACTCCGTTTAAGGTCACATATTTAAATGGGGGAAATTCCTCAGGTGGCAGGTGCAACAGTTTTTTTAGGAACAGTGTTTGGGCATGTCATACCCATGCGTGTCTGATCCTCAGTGAGTCACTTCGCACTTCTCATTTTCAAGCTTTTAGTATAGGTTTTTCTTGAGTTGTAAGCATGGCGCCGTATATTCCTTATGATGAAGAGATGAAAATATTGAGAAATGTTTTTGAAACAGTTTTTTCTGATGAGGTTTCCTTTAGTGAAGAGGAAAATGTTAATGATGAAGAATATAATAGTTGTTTTGAGGTCACTGGTTAGACTCTATACTAAAGACAACTTTACAACAACAACAATAATTTTATTTTGTGGACTGTATAATAGCTAAAAATCTAAATCGAAAATGATAAATTCCCGACCATACGAGATCAAAAACATGTATGCTATGCTAGGAATTTGAATCTCAACTAACTAAAACTGCGCAGAAACAATGCGCTGTACATAACTTATATTGCCGCGTAGGAGGCAACAATAGTAATCATGATTCATCCATAGAGAGTAGTGATTCAGATACAGAAACAGAAAATGAAACTCTGGAATGTAGCAATGAGTTTTATGTTGGAAAAAAATGGAGTAAAATGGAACAAAAATAAATTCCGTACTAATGCTAGAATTAGCACCAAAAATATTATAACTAAACTCACTGGAAATAGAAAGTATTCTAAAGACCAGGGGTGTTTGTGGGACCCCAAAAAATCCCGAAACTTTTACGGACTTACTAACCGACATTTTGGAGTTTCGAGAAAGGGGGGGGGAGAGAAATGAAAAATGACAATTATGATGTATTGAATGACCTAATTATAAAAGTTCAATGAATTACTTTTTTTGCAAAATTAATAACCATAAATTTTCAAACATATAAACTACTGCATTTTATGTAAATATTTTAAATTACCTGAATTAATTCTTTAAAAAAAAAATATCTAATTTCTGCTGCTTTTTTTTATTTTCTGATGTTTGTGGGCTGATGTCTTTGATTGTCTTTTCTGATGTCTTTCTTTTGTGGTGAACTTCATAATTGAAGGAAGGTTGACTTTTATTTTCCTCATTTACAGTTGAAGAAATTTCCTCGAGAACTGCACATGCAGAGGTAGAAGCAGTTTGCTTTTCTGCTAATGTAGAAGGTTTTTCAGAGATTTTTATAGGTGACTCATCTGAAATACATGTTTTTAGGTCCTCTTGATATGTTTTCCAACTTCTGTTCATATTCAGTAAGAAATCTTTGTGAATTGGAACAGTCATTGGATTTTTTTAGCCATATTTTTCACATGAGGTTTCTTTAGAAGCCATTAAATCATATTTAATAGTCTGCACTGCATCTAGGGAATCAATCTTAAGAGAGGTTCTATAGTCAGTGACAAGTGTATCCATTAAGTTGAATGCACTTTCCACTAATGCGCCATGGAAGCAGCTAAGGCAGGCTTTGACCAATTTAGCCAATGTAGGATACTTATAATCATTTGTGAAATCATCTTTTAAATTAAAAACTTTAGACCAATATTTATCAATTGTACACTTGAATTGATTTCCACTTTCATCAGATGTGTAGAGCATTTCTTTGGTGATATCAATATCACTCTGGAATAACCTTATTTCAGCTTCTACTTTTGACTTTTCATTATCACTAAAAATATGGGACATAAAAGATGATAATTTTTCAAAAGCTAATATTGTACTGGTTTTACCTCTTAGCTCTGGATCTAATGCTGTAAAACTAATTAGATATGAATTTTTAAGGGGTAATTTCTGTTTCATATGCTGTGCTGTATTAGTATAAGCTTTCATCAGAGAAATTTGGAATTCTTTTGCTATTGGATGATTTTTTGATAATTTCTTCAGGAGAGTGGAAGCTTCTGCACCAGTAAATATTACTTTGCTAGGTAGATGGAATTCTCGATTTGTGACGTCAACCTTTAATAAATCATTATAAGATGTGCACTCTATATTTTCTGGCTTCATAAAAAAAGAGAAAAATTTTGCCATCAATTTATAAATACTGGAATGTATTAAATGAAGCACTGGTTTTTTTGTTTCAAATAATTTAATATATGTGTTAAACTCTGGTAATACTGCTGAATATAATGCCATATGCAATAAAGTTTTGTTTTGCATAACAAATAACCCATTTAGTATTTTTTTCCGAGCTAAAGCATCCTTTGTGAGTTGTTGGGAATGCAAGCAAGAATACAACCCTTCAACAATTTTTTTCTGAGCTGCAGAAATATTTCTTTTATTGTATACAGTTTCAACATAAGGAAAATAATCCCCTTTATCAGTTTTATCCAAGTAGTGAAAATAAAATGCAATAAGAGCATCCTACAGTTCTTTGATCCTTTCTAAAACACATAAAATGTACACCCACCTATGGTCTGGTCTCTTCAAGGGCTTAAGTTTTTTAATGACAAGGGATTCACATTTTGAAAAAATTTTCTCTTTTACTGCAGCTTTTCATATCAAAATAGATGTCATCAAACAAATCTTCTAAGTATCTATCAAAACATGAAGCAAATTTTTTTGCACAGTTATTAGCTGTGTGACATGTGTCACCATCAATATCTAATAAGTGGAGTGCTTTGTTTCATCGTAGTCTGGTTTCAACACCCTTTTTCTTCCATGCATGGTGTTACATGAGTCCATTAATACACTAATTAAGTTTGCCCATGGAATATTATTATCTTCAATAGTATTAACAAGTGCTTTAAAAACAGCTTCTGAATTGCAAGATTCTATCTTTAGAGATGCAAAATGATGAACTACAACTTTATTTTGATTGTTGTCATAAAACTGCACACAAAATATTGCCAGTATACTTTCTTGAGCATTGCTAGTACTTTCATCCAAATTTAGAGAAAATGGAGTTTCCTTTAAAGTTTTAATGATATTTTCCTTAATAGTTTTTGCAAGCCCATATTTCATCTTATAACATGCAGTAGTCCTGGACATTTCCAACGAGTTTAGTGCTGTCTGATCGCGGCTCAACTGTTTGCAGAGTTCAATTAAATTGGGAACTACATTGAAAGAAAGAGAATTCTCATTGATAAACGAAGTTATTAATACCTCTTGGTGTGCTTTTCTTGTCACTATATATCCAATGGCCGAGCATCAGTCTCCAGTAAGTCATCAGTATTTTTTTAATTAGCATAATTATTTAAAGTCATTCAATGTCTAATGCA